ACCTGTAATTAGTTCAATACACTCTAATTAGAGGAATGATCCCTCAGGCTTACAGAGGGTTTATTCCTTTTAACTCTCTTTCATGTATATTTTCTCACATGGCCTTCACAATCTCACAAGGCAGGAGGAACAGAGATGGCTATACCCATGTATGTCTTTTGCCATGCTAATTTCATGTAAGTGAAAAAATATTGGATTATAACTACTGTTAGCACTTGTCTTTTCCATTAATTCTTACAGCTCACATAAAATATATACGAAAAGTTTGTAACAGAAAGCTAAGAAGTAGAATATATCCATTTTAATAATCAAATAAAACGTGGTTGAAAGAAAAACAGGTTTTTCCAGATCTGTTAGGACAGACTCTTAATGATTAACACAAATATTTGCTAATTTTTTTTACTAAGAAAGCCATGATCCATCTATGTTTGAATATTCAATGAAAACTAATTTTAGACTGTTTTCCCCTATTTCAGAGGATGAATTTTAAAAAAGATAAAAGATTTTATAGGGGGTAGGATCTGGAGTCGATTGTTTTAATAGCAGTTCCTTGCAAACATCAGCTGGTGCTCACACTCTCATCTCTCTCTCTCTTGCCTCAACACAACTTTTACTGATCTCATGAAGCAAAGCCTAATTTCTGGAAAAATAAGTTCCAGTATGTAATGAGAAAATACAGTTTTGATGCCTTTGCCAAAAGACAAAACACTTTATGTAAGAAATCCCTAGTATCTGGTAGTGTAATAAAGCTAGAGAATACTTGTACTCAAGGACACAGACACACACACACACACGAGAAATTAATGCACAATGAACGCTTATTTTTAAAATGTACATCAGGGGCTGGAGAAATGGCTCAGTTGTTAAGAACATTGGCTGCTCTTCAAGAGATCCCAAGTTCAATTCCCAGCACCCAGACGGCAGCTCACAACTGTCTGGACTCCAGTTCCAGGGGATCTGGCACCCTCACACAGACATGTGTGCAGGCAGAACACCAATGCATATGAAAACAAATAAATCTTTAAAAAAGAAAGAACTGTATATGGGTAATTTTCAATGTAAAAATACGTATTTTGGGGGTGGGGTGTATAGCTAAGTTAAAGAGTACTTTCCTAGTATAAGTGAATCTCTAGGTTTGATCCTGGGAAATGCTAAGTCTAACTATCTAAATATGTGCATTCATACTGACAGTAAAAGCTACTGAAATAATTAAGTTTTTGAAAGCCAGATGTTGTGGTGCACGTATGCTTGTATTCCCTGCTGGCCAGCCTGAGCTGCATTGGACCCTGTCTCAGAAAGAAATTAGGTTTTGGAACAAGACTGCTGATTCAGTACACAGTATCTCAATTAGTTACATCCTGCGAAGTTTTCCCCAGTTTAAATTCTTCTGTGGAAAGAACAAAATAATGTAAATCTGATTCTCCTGGGTTCTTCATTTGAAACCAGTTAAGCTTAACAAGTATAGCCCCATGCAAAAGACTTTCTGTGCTGTTGTCATTAATTATGAACCAATAGTCTTGGAAATCTCATACAAACTAAGACTTACAATACTAAATAAACTGCCATCTAGCCTTATACCTATCAAGATTATTACTTTAGTTACAATATAGACCTACATGATCTATTGACACAACTCTCATCATCTGTAGACGACTGTGACCTCTGCTTTCTTTTGTGTCATACTTGAAAAATTTCAGAACCGGAAAGCAATCAGAACTGTTAATTATTATGAATTAGAAAGGCCAACTCCTTCCAACTCTGAAATCCTTTCCTTCCAAATTAGTGGCTCCCATTTCACTGAAGTGTTGGCTGTGTGGAACTGCACAAGCTCATCCGGTTGCTGTCACCCACCAGCACTTCCAGCTGAGCGTTCAAATTCTTAACTCTTTCGTTGCTTGATCAAAGGATAGTTTTTAAAAATCGTATTTGTGTACACGATACATGTGTACACGCACAGTGTGTTTCCTAGTATGTATGTGGAAGTCAGAGGAAAACAAGCAGAAGTTGTTTCTTTTCTTCTTCCCTATGGGTTCTGAGGATCGCCCAAGCCATAGCTTGTTGGTGACTTTTACCTTTCAACCAGCTTACCATCTCTTAATAAGATCGTTTAAGGGCAATAAACAATTTGGGATTACTCTGAATTCAGCACTGAGTTACAATGTTATTATTACAAAGTTCAAATATATACTGTATGCAGGAGAACATTTTTTTTGAAAGGGAGCTGGGCACAGTGGTTCATGCCTACAGTCTCAGCATTTAAGAGGACAAGGCAAAAGGATTGCTGAATTTAAATCCACCTGTGACTAGGGATTAAGATCCTACCTCAAAGCCAGATCTGTTGGCAAAGTCTTTTTTGTTTGTTTTTTGATAATAACGATTTTTGACAGTGATAATATTGTCAAAGATTAACCAGTACCTACACAGATGGCCTGAAATACCTTTCTCTTTTTGAAACCAGGGTCTCATGTATCCTCAGTTGACCTGTCTTTCAACATGCTGGGTTTACAGGCAGCACGTGCCATCACACCTGGCTGGAATGTAATTCTTCATTTAAGAACCTGTATTGTGGACAGGACACTAGCCACTTGAAATAGCGACTTGGAAATTTCCATCTAGGGAGCTTGTATCAGACCAAATTGCTTTCACATTCTGAAACTGGCCAGCATGTAGCCTAGCTCATAAAAATCCCATTGCTGCCTGCCTCAATGGCACAGTGGTTCTTGAACTCCTTATTATTTGCATGTTGGACTTTTGATTTTACAGTGACTATATGATCTTTGAACACAAACAAGCTATTCTGTGAGGAGAGTGATGTTAACTATATTTACAATTGTTTTCTGGTACGGGGGATTAAATCTAGCTTCTCATGTATGCTAGGCAGGTGCTATGCCACTGAGCAATACTTCTGGCCCTATTTTAATCTATTTTTTAAAAATATTTATTACCTTTTTTTTGTTTTTTGGAGACAGTTTCTATCTGTGTGGCTCTGGCTGTCCTGAAACTCACACATGCACCACATAGTTCATTATATTTTTAAAAAAAATTTGTGTGCATTGGTGTTTAGCCTACATGTATGTCTTTGTGAGGGAGTCTGACTCCCTGGAACCTGAGTTACAGACAATTGTGAGCTGCCATGTAGGTGCTGGGAATTGAACCTGGGTCCTCTGGAAGAGCAGCCAGTGCTCTTAACCGCTGAGTCATCTCTTCAGTCCCCATCATTAGTTTAATTATGTGTACGATGTATCTCGGAGAGGGTTATGTGTCTGTGTACCTGTGGTTCAGTGGGTAAGGGTACCTGCTGCTAAGCCTGCTGACCTGAGTTCAATCTACCTTAGTTGGTAGAATTTAGCATGTACGGAGTCCTGGGTTTGATCCTCAATGCTACATATATCAGGCAGTCCCAGCACTAGCGAGAGAGGGGAAAGAGGATCAGAAGTTCAAGGTTACTCATCCATACTGAGTTTATGGTCAGTAGCCTGGGTTGATACATGAAATCATGTCTCAACAAAAGAAAATCAAATCCAAAGAAGATATCATTTTAAAGAATAGTGCTTTATTGATAAGTCTTATTCACAGAAAAATAAGCTTTAATCTACAACAAAGGACAGATTATAGAGCAGAAAGCAATTTTCATAAATCTCCATACTGAAAGGTATCCACTAAATGAAAAGTCATAAAATTATATTCACAAATATAATTGTCTCAAAATTCTTAACATAATTATTCACAAAACTAATACAATGACAAAAAAATTGGTCATTCTGTCAGGTGAAGTATAACAACAACAACAAAAAAGCAAACCCAGTCACTACATTAAAGCCATTATTAACATCAAATTTAAAATGCAAGCTTGCTGGTAAGTATTGACAGAGTGATAAAATAAACTTACACAGTCATCTTAAATGTTAACATTAACGATACATAAGCACATAGTAAATGCCAAACATCTGCAAACTTGAGTCTCCAAATGAGAACTCTACCACTCAAGCATTAATGGCGTGTTTCTTAATTTGAAAGTATTAGGGGTTGTCCTGCTGTAACAATTATAAAGCACCATCTACTGTGCAGTGAAATTAGAGTATAATGGAATGGACTGCTGAAAAACAAACACCGGAGAATTCCGAGGACAGGTGGCTGGTGTGGTGTTTCCCAACTTCAAGCCATGTCCCAGGACAGGATCTACATCAGTGTTACAATGAGGGTGGTGGTGCTGAGAATAAGCTAGTAATCTCTAGCAGACAGTCTGCAATGCTATCATGTCAGGAAGGAATCTACGGTGTGCTAAATGTTTCAGAGCCAAACTGAAATACTAGGGTGTGACTAAGTTGATTGTTTCTATTGGGAAAACTCAATTGAATTTAGTAAGAATATTTTTTTCTAGTTTTTAAGAATTTAAATCCTGGAATGCATAAACAGAGGACTGATTAGCAAAGGGGTCAAGACTGGGCTTGTTTAACCCACAGAAACAGATGACCTGAACAAGAGGGAGCTCTTGGACCCCAGAATTATGGCTGGGAGGCCAGCATGGGATTGATCCAGATCCCCTGACTATGGGTGTCAGTGAGGAGGCCTGGGCAATCTATGGGGCCGTGGGTAGTAGATCAGTATTTATCCCTGGTATCCATATGAACTTTGGGTGCCCATCTCACAATGAGAGAGGCTCTCTCAGCCTGGACTCTTGGGGGAGGGCCTAGGCCCTTCCCTGAATGAAATGACAGACTCTGGAGATCTCCCATGAAGGGCCTCACCCTCCCTGGGGAACAGAGTAGGGATTGGGTGGGGGGTTGGGTGGCCTAGTGAGGGAGGCAGGGGAGGAAATGAGGGAGAGGGAGCTGGCATTGACATGTGAAGCAAGCTTGTTTCTAATTTAAAAATATCTAATAAAAAGAATTTAAATATTTATTAAGGATTTATTTATTTACTTATTGCAATTTATAGCTTCATTATAAGAAGCATCCTGAGAAACAAGTAACAGTGACAAAGTTAATATATGAGTTTTGTTTAAGCTTTAAAGATCATTTTTATTTTATGTGTATGTGTGTATGTTTGTATATATGTACATGCATGTAGGTGCCCATGTACCACCAATATTTCTGGCCAAAATAGAGCACCAGAAAGACCAAAGCTGGAGCTAACATTCAGTTGTAAGCCACCCTGTGGGTGCTGGGAACTGAGCCTTGGTCCTATGTAGAAGCAGCAAGTACTCTTAGTGGCTGAGTTATCTTTCCAGGCTGTCTATTAAGCTTTAGTCCAAGTCCTCCATCAAGGAAAACCTATGGAAGGTCTACAAGTTTTAGGATGAATCTGGGCTGTAGTGGCACACACCTTTAATTCCAGCACTCTGGAGGCAGAGGCAGAGGCAGAGGCAGAGGTAGGTGGATGTCTGAGTTTGAGTACAGCCTGGGTTACACAGAGAAACCCTGTCTCGGAAAAAAAGTTTTAGTTTGAGAGTTAATACTTAAAACATTTAAGGTGTATTCTCCTTGAGTTGAGTTCCATCATCTTGGATAAAATGGTTAAGGTAATAAATACTCTTATTATACAGATAAGCTACTTTGTGTGTGTGTGTGTGTGTGTGTGTGTGTGTGTGTGTGTGTATGTATGTGTGTATGTGTGTGTGTGTGTGTGTGTGTGAGTATAGGTGGCATAATGCATATTAGAAGGCAGATAAGCCAAAGGACAACCTTCCTACCTTAACAGGGTCTCTGCTAATGCCTAAGTCAAATTAGCTGGCCTTGGGATTACAGATACTTGGGCTAGTACACCCAGCTTTTATGTGTGTTCTGGAGATCTGACCTCAGGTTGTGAAGCCTATTCGGCCAGCTCATTTCTTTGCGGACAGCTACCTTCTTAAAAAGAGATTTGATTAAATTTGTCCATTTTCTTATTTCTCTAACAGCAATGGTCTACAATCTATTTCATCTCTCCTCTTCTCTTATTCAGTACCCAGGCAGTTACTAGTAAAACAACGATTTAGGTCTAATGGGAATAACAAATGCAGCTAATGCTGGGGTGATAGTTTCCATTCACAAAGCTCAAGATCTAAATTTTACCTACAAAATTAAAACAGAAAAAGTACATTTTAAATAACAAAACAACAAAATGTTATAACAAAGCCAAATCACATTATATTCACTTACTACACTCACCTCACCTCTACCCCTACCAAAGGAAGAGGCAAAATCTAGCAGGAAAGGGAATACTAAGCCATTAATCAAATAAACTCTATTTAATAAACGCCAAACACAAAATTTTGATTAGCACAGTAAATTACAAATAAAACTATTACAAAATAACTTCAAATTTCACATGACTGATATGTAGTAAAATAGGTGGTTACTTCAAAATCCTAGAGTGAACTTTACACAGAAAAGAACATCAATACAGAGATACTGAGAACTCTCGGGGTGGGTGATTTGAATCTGGTAATATTTTGACCTGCCAAGTGACCAATTTTTTGCTGTTATATTGGAAAGGATTCAGTGGGTATTTTTTTGTGAGCTCAGACCAACTCTGGTAAGTCTCCAACAATTTGATTAGAGTTGGAGTGCTGTGATTTTAAGAACCCGAAGTAACAGCATTTTCTAAACAATTCTTAAAATAAACTTGTTAGCCACATCAGCTTCATGAATTCAATTTCGCAACTCATGAAGACAAAAAAAGAGGTCTTGCTTAACTCTCAGCACACAAGTTTGAAAAGGAGAGTTTTAATGAACTGAGGCTCCCAGAACAAGAAAAGCCTTATTCAAAAACAATTCAGTCCTTGAATCCTTGGCGAACAGCTAGATTAAACAAACTACCTACGTGACTTGTACCTGAAGTGTTTTAGGAAACATTTTTTTAAATTAACACTTTTATCCCCTTGTGGAATGCTTTAAATGTAAATTTAAATTTAAACCTTAGTCAATTTAGATCAGGTTCAACTTAATGACTACACAACTGAACCTAAGTAGGAGACAATGAAAAGAATTAAGGATTTTCATGAAAAAAAGCAAAGAGAAAAAAAGGGCAATCATTTACTTAATTCTGCTATTTTCTATTTAAATTTGCAATTAAAATGACATCACTTACCATAGTAGTCAACAGAAGTTAGGAGAACCTAACAATACTCTTTCTCTTAGAAAATACAACAAAAACCTAAATTGTAACAGTTTCACTCTCAAACTGTACTCTGTAGTAAAACAGACCAGTCTCTGTAAGAGGTCTATCATGATAATTGTTTAGGGTAAATTCTGTGTTCCATGAAACATTTAGGTGGATTTTATTCATATTGATTCTTATAAAAGTTGTCAAAAGTATTTAAACAACTACTCTTGTCAGTATGTTGCAATTTCCAAGAGGTCTTAATCTTGAGAAAATATTTTAAAGTATTTACTACCATTACTAGTCAAGAAACAAACACAAAACAATCAGAGACTTACCATTCTGTACTATATACATCTTAATCTTCCTAACAGTAAAAACTCACATGAAACTTTTAGGACACAAAATGACATGAGAATCTCAACAAGGAAAGCTGTCACTAAAACTACAAGCAGCATACAAACATGCTTCTACTTTTACCTACATAAGCAGACATTTGTTTAAAATACTGGGTTAACAAAGATCTTTTAGTAAAGTGACTTAGGCAGGCTTAAACTAGCAAGGATTAAGGATGAATCCTTACTAATTAATTGGAAGATCTGAGACAATATTTTATATTTCATTTTACAAAATCAGAAAGACTTATTTTGAAACAAGATAAGAAGACATGGTCTACCTGTCAGAAAACTACCACTCAGAAATATTTTACATCCACAAAGCAGGCAAAACAAAAACATTTAAATTTCACATTGGCACCAGAAAAGTTAACTGGCCTGCCTTCTTGGATTAGAAAAACTAAAACTGAGCAATAAGTAGTTTTGCAGACGTTTGAACATGCCTAAGCCTTTGAATCAGTAAAATATTTCTAAAAATTCTGATTATATAAAAGTAATACATACTTATATAAAGTTGAAACAGAACAAAATGAAAAACAGAAGGACTCCTATAAGCCCCTCTAAGACCCATACCCCAACCCCCCTCAAGAAAAAACATACTTAAGAGTGTGATGCATATCTTTCCAAATCTTTTTTTTTGTCCTACACAGATATAAAATTCACACTTTGATTTGGCTCAAACTATATATAATGTTTTGCCATTTGTATTTTACATGTACTGTATTTTTGTTGTCTTTTCATGTTAGTATATGCTGGTTAGATAAGCAGTTTGCCATTAAATATCTTTTGGGAGATGGCAAAATCACTTAAAATCATTCATACAAGTATGTTTATAATTGTGAAACAAAATGGACAGACTCCTAAAGCACAGAGACAAACATCTACAAACCAATGTTTATCCTCCCACCAGTGTGGAGCAGTTCATTCCCTGTTCACAATAAACACAATGACCGACTGGGTAGATTAACTCAAATCTCCTTGCTTATACAGAACACTCCATTTGTTAAGCTTATCCAAAAGGAATGAAAAATGCTAGTGATTAATTCACTTACAGAAATCAAGTCAGTGTACTAAAAATACACAAGGTGAAAAGTTATAATATTAAATGCTTCTTTGTCTAAGGCTTTAATTGAGTAAAAAGTTGGAGAAACGATATAGCTAATAACCTGAAAGTTCCAGAAATTCAAAGTTTAGACAGTAACAGTGTTGTTAACATTTGTTTCCACTTGGGAGCAGATGCTAATGGAATGCAATGCTGATTACTTAAAGTTTGCTCACATCACACATTCAATTAAAGAAGAACAAAACATGCCTACTGTGGCTCTGAATTAAGACATAAAAATTTTTTGCTTGAATGTAATGATTGTGTAGCACATGGGACATTTGTCAACTGCTTCGGCACATTGTTTACAAGTGACCAGATGTCCACAAGGAACAAAAACTACCGCAATATTTCTATCCATGCAGATTTTGCAAAGCTTCTCCTCTTGTAGGCGCCTCAGCTGCTCTTCAGTACTAATGTCTGCACAAAGAGAAAAACAACATATACTAGTCTGAGGGCTTGTTGTTTCAATTCATTCAAACACTGAAACGTCCTGTGTGCCAGACACTCAAGTCTTGGGAGACACGAAAATGACTCACACATGGCACACATTCCTAAGTAGTTTGTATGCTAGTGGGAGAGGCTGTGAGCTGCAGCTAGAGAGGTAAGTACAAAGTATAATAAACCTACAGACAAAGTGCTCTGGGACAAGATGAACAAGTTCTCCTGTCCAGCTGGTTGGGAAAGGACTCATGAGGAGGAGGAGGACCATGGTGGAGCAACATTTACGTACAGGCAACAATTTGCCAGGCAGAAAAGCAAGGATGAAGTAAAAGTAACAACATATCTGAAGAGCACTCGTAATTCTCCATGTGAGGGCTAAAGAGAGAAAGAGGAACTAAAGTTGGGTTTGCTTATGTATCAAGGAGATGGTGATAATTACTGGAAATATAAAAGGCGATAGAGGATTTACATTTTCAGGTATATTTGAGATGTCGGCAGGGCATATGTTGAGCATGAGTAGCATATATGATACTGAAGTAGATGCACAGTTGAACTTTTGTCACGACAGATCTGGTGAAAGTCTAACAAATATGCCACAAAACTGTGATTGTAGTCATATATAACAGCAACAAAAATCAACAGTAACAGAGCATAAATATTATGTGCTAGGCACTACAGATAATTACTAATGGTTCATACACCTGGCCTCAAAAGAGAATTCCCTGGTTTTTCCCTTTGCTGTGTGTAGAGGTGGAGTGGGGGTGTCATCGATGTTGGGTATGAAGTTCAGGATATTGTATAGTATTCATTGTACCACATTCTTACCTCTTATAGCATATTTTCAAAAACAAGTTTTCTTTAAAAATAATTTATTGCATTTTATTTATATTTGTGTGGGAGTGTACATTAGAGCATATATGTGAAAGCCAGAGGGCAACTTTTCAAGACTTGGTCCCCTCAGTCCACCACATAGGCTTCAGGATCAGACTCAATCAGGTCTTTAGGCTTCGAAGCAGGTGCCTTTACCCACTGAGCAATTACACCATCCTTGTGAGGTTCTTCCTCTAATTCTAAAGCTTCTAATGCTAGTCACACTCCCATGTGGGAACACTTTGTGTGTGTGTGTGTGTGTGTGTGTGTGTGTGTGTGTGTGTGTATACATATATGGAAACATATGATGCATTTCCCTATATAACTATGCAGCTCCTTTAAAAACAACATGCCGCTTGCCTCCGCCTCCTGAGTGCTGGGATTAAAGGCGTGCGCCACCAACACTTGACTGCTGTTGATGTTTTCAACAGGTCTTGCTATGCAGCCAGGCTAGCCTGAAACTAGTTATCTTACTGCTTCTCCCTCTGAATATGGAGATTATAAATGTGGATCACTGTCCGGCTTTCTCTATAAAATAGAGTATTAGGATGTATTTTAATTCAAAGCTGACTTAATAGTATAACCCTCTCATGTTTTCATGTATGAACAGTTAAGAACATTTAAAACCAAATAGTTTCAGTTACAAAACTTAGATTCTATACAAAACAAAAGCCTCTGTTGTTCTTTGTCTATAACACTCTAACCCAAACAACAGTGGTGATGCATAACTTTAACCTCGACACTTGGGAAGCAGAAGCAGGTAGATCTCTGTGAGTTTGAGGCCAGCATGGTCTACAAAGTGAGTTCCAGCAGAACTAGGGCTGTTACAAGGTAAGAACCCATCTCCAACAATTAAAAAAAACCCTCCTACTTTTAAAATCAAGGCTGGGGATGTTTGTCTAGTATGCACAAGGTCCTAGGCTCAATTCCAAGCACCTCATAAACTAGGTATAGTGCTGCATGCCTGTAATCCCAGAACTTGGGAGGAGGAACATCAGGTCATCTTCACCTATTAAGTAGTTCAAAACCAGTTTGTGTTAGAGACCCTATCTCAAAAAAAAAATTAAAGTGTGACTCCTGTATCAGATCTTCCAAGATTAGGTCAATAAATAACCTGTCATGTAAAGGGGATAAGCTCATAGGGCCCTACTCTTCCCTGAGGATTCATACACAGTTAATGGTTACTGGAGACATTTTATTTAAACTTACAGACACTGAAAAATTACCCATTAAAAAAACAAGGTGGAGAGCACCTGAGAAATAACTCCTGAGGTTGACTTCTGGCCCCTCAAAGCAAAACCCTAATGAAATTCATTGGTTACAAAGGGTGGGGTGGAGGACATGAAATTAGAAGGGGATTAGTGGAAGGAATGGGGAATGAATGTAAGTACATACGTACATGTATGACAACACCCAGAAACCTATCATTCTCGTGTGTGTGTGTGTGTGTGTGTGTGTGTGTGTGTGTGTGTGTAATTGAGGCATTTAAAAATAAAATGGAAAAAAGCTGGTGGATCTTACTTAGAGCTTTATTAAAATGACTCAAGTATAGAAACATTTAAAGAAATTGGGGAAGTGAGGGTTGTGGCTCATTGGTAGAGTACTTGCTTAACATGTAATCAGGTCCTGAGCTAAACATATAGCACTAAAACAAGAAGGGGTATTAAAACCAGCCAGGCTTCTGATTCAGAGAATTAACTTTGTCAAGTGTGACAACAATGTTATATGGACTGAATGCATGTGCTCCTAACATTTATATGTTGCAGCTTTAATGTTCCACATAGTGATGTTGAGAGGAAGGGCTTTAGGAAGAATAATACCGTGCTATTGAACAATGCTTTGGTAAACCAGAAACCATGTATTTTTCCAGAAGATTACAAGTTAACTGAAAAAAATCCTATCATGTAGTGATGTTTCAGCCATCCTAATGTTATGGCATAATGCATCATGTTTGTGATGATGCTGGCATTAACCAACCTCCTGAGCTGCTAGTCATATGAAAGCATAACATACAGTTAATGGTTTACATTATCACCTTACATACTTTATTATGTGAATATACTCCTTCATATAAATGAAACTACCATGAAACAATATGCCATATCATGTCAGCAGAAGCCTCATGGAACACATCATGTTTACAAAATATCTGGATTGCATCAAGAACCCAGATCAAGTGGTTGACACATGCCATCTATGCTTGTATAAGTATATTCGATGACATTCATTCAATGATGAGATTGTTTAACAATGCGTCTCTCAGAATGTATCTTCATTGTTAAGCAATGCACGAATGCAATTAGGTTTGTATGAAATCATGAGCATGAGAACTCTTGGGAGAATTACTAAGGCCCGAGAGGTTATACACACTATTTTGGGAAGGCAACTGTCTGCAGGAAGACCTAGATTTTGGCCTTCTCAGTCTGTGAGAAATGAATGCATTTTGTTTAAGCTACCTGTTTTGTGGAATTTTGTTATAATATACTGAGAAACACAGCACTGAGGGCATAATTTAAAAAAATAGCCTTCTATGGTAAATATATAAAAGTATCTGTAGATGATGATACACAGGATGTCTTATATTTACTTTGAAGTGCTAAGACCAGAAAGATAGGAGAAGATGAGAATCAAGATGAGAAAGAGGTGCTTATTATTATTAAAGCTGATTCACTGTTCTTTCCACTTCTGTGTATGTTTGAAATTTATCATAATAAGAGTAAAAATGTTTATCCCATGGGGTATTATAAAAAGGAAATGAATGGGCTGCAAAGTTATTTTTCTTTAAAAAAAAACAATGCATACCTTTCTGCAATGAAGTCTGACTTGACTCGTCCTGTGTATTATCTTTCTGAGCACTCACTAGATCTGCAATCAGAACCTCAAGGGATAGATAGCTGCTCCCAGATGTTTGGATCTTTTCTTCCATTGTTTTCTTAATGTCCCTGAAACTGAATCCCATTCGTATAGCTTCTTGTACCATAGGATTCTGGAAGATGGTATCATCTGAAATCAAAGTTGGGTGGATAAAGAACATAGTAGAAACAAGTATTTTCATTAACATGACTAAACAGCAAAACAGTTTAGGGCTTTAAGACTATGATATGGCTGAGGAGTAGTTTACTGGTAGAGTGCTTGCCTACTATGTATGTTGTGGCTCTGATTCCCAAACTTGAAAAGAAAAATGCAAGATAGGTAAGACAGGTATCCAGGGGATGAGGATAGGGCTGTCGGAAGAGTGCTTGCCTAGTATACTTGCAGCCCTGGTAATTAATCCCCAGCAAAACATTAGCCTAGCGTGGTAGTGCAAACTAGAAGGACTAAGAGTTTGAGGACATATTCAGCTATCTACCAAGTTCAAGGCCAGCCCAAGATACACTAGGCCCCGTCTCAAAATAAAGCAAAACAATAAAGACTGATACACTCATATATGAAATATAGACACTTGAGCCTACATAGATGATTCCACATATGGTAAATGTTGAAAACAGTTAAAACTAGTATTTGTCAGGGCCCAGCAGTAGGAAAATGGAGAACGACTGATGATGGGTACGTACAAGGTCTCTTTCTGGGGTGATGGCAATTAAATAGTAATGGCTGTACAATCTGGTGAATACACTAAAAATTGTATGCTTTATCAAGTCAGATTTTGCTATTCGAGTTATATTTTAGTTTACAAATATTAATCCAATCCCAGAGCAAGAATATCATTAGTCATATAAAGAAAAGTGAGCATTTTAAGGATGATTAAACACCAAACATTCTCTAGAAATATTATGAAACCTTTGTCTTTGTAGGCTGGAACTGAACTTTTACATGCTAGATAAACATACTATCACTGAAACACAACCCTAGTTCTAGATGTCTTTGATTTCCCAGAATAAATTTAAAAATGTACGCTAGAACATTCATACAACAAGGACATCTGTTCCACTATGTTCATAGCAGCATTATTTGGAAGCAACCTAGATGCCCCTCAACTGAAGAGTAGATAGAGAAAATGTGATACATTTACACAATGGAGTACTATTCAGTAGAAAAAACAATGGAATCCTGAAATTTGCAGGCAAATGGCACTAGAAGAAACCATCCTGAGTGAGGTAACCCGGTCACAAAAAGAGAAACATGGTATGTACTCTCTCATATATGGATTTTAGACATAGATCTGGGGAGTGCCAGCCTACGAGCCTATGGCCAGAGAGGCTGGGGAACAGAACCTTCATCCAATGGCTGATGGAAACAGAGGCAGACTCCCACATTTAAACACTGAGCTGAGGTCAAGGAACCCAGTGACAGAGAGGGAGGAATGATGAGCAAAGGGGTTAAGACTGGGCTGGTTTAACCTCCAGAAACAGCTGACCTGACAAGGGTTAGTTATTGAATCCAAGACATATGGCTGGGAATCCAGCATGGGACTAAGACCCCCTGAATGTGGGTGTCAGTGAGGAGGCCTAGGCAATCTATTGGGCCTTGGGTAGTAGATCAGTATTTATCCCTGGCATACAAATGTACTTTGGGTGCCCATCCCACAATGAGAGATGCACTCTCACCATGGACTCTTGGGGGAGGGTCTAGGCCCTGCCCTGGATGAAATGACAGACTATGGACACCCCCATGGAGGGCCTCATCCTCCCTGGGGAAATGAGGGGGTGTTGGGGGGGTTGGTGGGAGGGTGTGGGAGGAGGGGAGGGAAAGGGAGAGGGACCTGGGATTGACATGTGAAGCAACCTTGTTTCTAATTTAAATTTAAAAATAAAAATTAAAAAAGTATGCTAGACAAAAATGATTTTTTAACTTTGTTATTGCTGCCAAATCCATACCAAGTAATGTAGCTCTATATTTCAAGCATATTTATGAATACATGTAGTATTCTTCTGCCTTGTAATCCTTGACACCCAAAACAGATGATGTTACAACGTCATAGAATAAGGATTTACCAGGTACTCTAAATAAAACCTTGTATTTTGAAATATATTGCCTCCACTGAAAAATGAGATCTAAAAACACAAAACAAAAGGGACACCAGAGCTAGGTATGGTAGTACATACCTTTCATTTCACCATTCTGGAGGCAGAGGCAGGAAATTATCTGTGAATTTGAGGCCAGTCTGGAGGGACTTCATAGTGAGTTTCAGGACAGTCAGAGCTATACAGAGAAATCTTGTTCCATAATACAACCTCCACCACCACCAAAACCCCATAAATAACCCCACCAAAAGTTAAATCTAAAATGTGCTATGGGATTTAGAAGACATTGTTTACAGTTCTAGTTCTATTAATAATTTATAATGTTATATGCCTTTAATCCCAGTACTCAGGAAGCAGAGGCAGGCAGATCTCTCTGAGTTTGAGGCCAGCCTGGTCTACACAGGGAGTTCCAGGATAGCCAGGGCTACACATAGAGGAACCTGACTTGAAAAACAAAATGAGATAACAACAAAAACACAATTTATAATGTGGCTGTGGGTAGCTCATATAACCCACACACATTAAACAAACAAACATTAAATAAATAAATGGAACCAAGATTTAAAACCCAAACTTCCAGTATCTTCAGTGCTTGATATGTTTTCCTCCCTTACTCTCTTTTTTAAACCCATGCCATGAAGCCCAGACCAGCCACAAATTTGTAATTCTCCTGTTTTATCATTCTGGGTGCTAGGATTACAGATTTGAGACACGATATCTGGCTTTCTTTCTTTTTCCTTATTTTTGTTTTTCAAGACAGAGTTTTTCAGTGTTACAGCCCTGACTGTCCTAGAACTTTCTCTGTAGACCAGGGAACTGAAGAGATCCACCTGTCTCTGCCTCCCAAGTACTGGAACTGAAGGCATCACCACCACCACCCTGCAACACCTGGCCTTCTGTTAACATCCTCACTACAGAAATATATGATATATAAAATTATAAGTACTTCATAAATTTAAAGCAACCCCATTAAACATACTATAATAATTTGGTCACAAAATTAAACATTTATTTTAATAAGCATATTTACCAATTCTTTTAGTTAGCAAAGGTGTTTTTTCAGCTGTTCTTACCTAAAATAGAAATATGAATGGGAAGAATTCAATTTAGTAGAAAGCAATTATCTCAATTTGAAAACTTAATAAACTTAAAACAAACTGACTTTATCATTTAAAACATGACTATTCACAAGGACATAGCCTGGTGGACTAGAAGGAAGTTAAGACTATTTAATCCAATATCACTACTTCACAGACAAGAAGGTGAGGGTCAATGAGATCACTTGACTTTCTGGACAGGAAACAAACACAACTAAACTAAAAAACTAACAGTAGAACTATTAGGTCAACTCTAAACTCCCATTCTAGTCCAGGGTCTTCCCACATTTTACTAATGCTTTGACTACCCTTGTCCTGTCTATCTATTCAGATACATTTTCATAGTTTTTTATACCAGGGTGTTGTTTATGATAGCCAGATAAGGTATAACTGGTATTTCGCAGTTTTAAATACTATGGCTCAGCAGTGAGAACACTTGCTGCTCTTGCAGAAAACCAGAGTTCAGTTCTCAAGAATCCATACTGGGCAGCTCACAGCTGCCTGTAGCTGTAACACCAGCTCTGCAGATCTGATGGCCTCTTGCTTTTCTTAGGTACCTGAATAACACGTGGTGCTCAGGTGTGCACACAGGCACACATACACAATCAATCAATCTTTTTTGTAAGGTGAAAACTGCCAGGCATGGTGACACACTCCTTTAATCTCAGCACTCAGGAGATACATCTCATGGGTTTTCAAGGCCAACCTGGCCTTTAAGAAAAAAAATAAGTAGAAACTATTTCTGAGTGGAAAGTACATTACACAAAAGCCTGATTTCTGAAGGCTAAATTATTTTACTATTTTAAGTTCCTTATACCCACTCTGTCCATAGTGATACATTATTTTGTTTTCATCTCTCAAAAAACTTTGCTTCAGAGTTAAGAATTAGAAGCTTTCTTCAAGTTCTCCGCTTTTAAAGTTTACTACACATTAATTATAGTAGTATACCATACATTTCACTGGAAGAAATCATTAGAAAAACAAAATAACAGGCAACTTACCAAAGATTCCCCAAGTGAATGGGTTAAATGGATATTACTGATATATTCTTGCCCCTTCTCATCCAATAGATATTTACACCTAAAAGATTAAAGACGTTAATCTCTATTAGCTGATAAATTAGTGAACTATTGATAAAGCCAGTCCTCATGTGATTCAAGCTAGTCTCAAACTTGCTATTTAGCCAAGGATGACCTCAGACATCTAATCCTCCTCCTACATATCTCACTTGCTGGGAGTATAGGCAGCAATAGGCACAAATCACCCTAGTCTGTTAAAAATACAACCTTTTCTTTGAGATAGGGTCTTGATAAATTGCCCGGGCTGGCCCCGACTGAGCTTTCTAACCTAAACAGGCCTTGAAATTTCCTATCTTATCAGACTCCTAAATAGCTGAGATTAAAGGCCTTAGATTCACTGTTTCTAGGGACCCACAAAGCAAACTGCTACCCAGTTCCTTATCCAGTTGTCATTTCAAGGCTAAAATAATGCTATTATCCACGCTATCAATATCAATTTTAGAACTTTCAATTTTCAAGCAAGAGTTACTAAATTAGCCAATTTTGGTGGTATATGCCTGTAATTACAGCACTTGGGAGGCTGAGTAGGAAGGCTACATGAAAATCAGGCTATCCTGGGCTACATAGACAGAACCTGTCCCCAAAAAGAAAGGAAAAAAACAGCCAAATGAGAGTCATATGCCAGGTATGATGGCAAACATCTGGAATATATGTACATAGGGGGTTAAGCCAAGAAAATCAGAAGTTCAGAACCACCACTGGCTACATAGTGAATTCTTGCTAGTGTGAGCTCCAAGAGTCCCTGTCTCAAAAAGGAAACAAACAAAAAGGCAGGCATGATACCACACCTCTATAATACTCAAGAGGCAGAAGCTGGAGCTGCCACAAGTTTTAAGTCCAGCCTGGCCTACATAGGAAGTTGTGGCCAGTTAAGGCTACATATAACAAGTCTCCGTCTCTCTCTCTCAACAGGTAAAAGAAGCTATTAAATTAGTGTCCTCACACTGACCATTGGGGGGGAGGGTTTATCTGTGTAGCCCTTGCTGGCCTGAAACTCAAGAGATCCACCTGCTTCTGCCTCCTGAGTGCTGGGAAGAAAGGCACAATCTTATCTTATATACCAATCCCAGTTCCTTCTCCCTCCTGTCCTCTCACTCCCCTAACCATCTCGCCACCCCTCGTCCAATCCATTCCTCCAGAGGGCGAGGCCTCCCATGGGGAATCAACAAAGTCTGTCCTATCACTTGAGACAGGACCAAGACACTCTCCTCCTATATCTAGACTGAGAAAGGTTCTCTCTTCATAGGGAATGAGGTTCCAAAAGGCCTGGGGTAAATCTTTTTTTTTTTTAACCAATACTGAACACGTAAAATCTTAGTTTTTATTTTCTCATTTAATTTTAAGGCTGCTTAAGGAAGACTCTTTTCAAATGGTTCTTCTAACATTTTAAGATGGATTATTTTATATATTAGAAACTCATACAACTTATATAGCTGAGTGCTTTATTTTACAGAGGCAAGATGACAAAGGAACTGAGTGAGACAAAAGAGTTTCACGATGGAGGCCACTGGAAGACATTAATTCCAGGCCAACCTGAGCTAATCTAATGTGAGAAACTGTTTCAAACTAAAACCAAACAAAACCCAAATAAAAATATACATCATGACAGCTCTTCAGGACTTCTCATGGTACCATGGGCTCAGGTTAATCGCCAAAGAGTATACTTCTGAATAAAAAGGATATATTTTTGTATAGTATACTAAACAAAAAGTACACATTTTTGCTGGGCATTGGTGGGCACACGCCTTTAATCCCAGCACTTGGGAGGCAGAGACAGGTGGATCTCTCTGTGAGTTCGAGGCCAGCCTGGTCTATAAGAGCTAGTTTCAGGACAGTCTCCAAAGCCACAGAGAAACCCTGCCTCAAAAAACCAAAAAAAAGTACACATTTTTTAATTTGGTGTTTAGAAATGAAACCCTCTAAGTATCGTATGATATATGAACAGTGAATGTCTTGGTTACCAGAAGTCTTAGGTGGGTTTTTTTGCTTACAAAGTAGGTGACCCCATTTCTATAAACCTGGTGTGAATTTCAAGCCATTGTGAAGGCAAAAATAGTTGAGGTGAAAAGTAATTCAAATCTTTCCACTGCACAATGTCCAACTTGCCTATTACTGACTGAACAATTAAGAATCTTACCCTGGGTACCACTTAGCATGCTGTTCCCAAGGGTCTTCACTTGGCTTCCAATCCGTGAGCCCTCCTCCACAGTGAAAGCACTTCACTTTATCACCTTCTCCTAAGAAAACATGCAAGTAAAACCATGCGTATCTGTGCAAGTAGGCACTTTCAGAAAACCGCCCATTCCAACATTTAAGGGGGGCCTAACTTACATAAACTTTCATGGCTTAAAGGAAAACACTCACATTTCATCTAGATATGATGTTTATCATTTGAGGGGAAATACATACTAAATTCACCATCTCAATATGGGGTGCTTTGTGGAAGACAACAAAGTAAAATCAAAGTTTTATGTTAGAAACTACAACTGTTACATTCTTTCTAGTGTATGTCATTTGGGCCATTACTATTACACTTACTTCATCAAACTGAAATTTGTACAAGTTATATTCCAAATGTTATCTACAATAAAATTCAGCAGAAATTACAAAGTAAGTGTCTTTAAGGATAGAGCTCTCTGACATGAAAAAGATCTTCAAGATTACTATGTTATACAAATGAAAAGATTTGAAATAATTCGTATTTTGAATTTGGCATTATTCAATCTTAAAATAAATGGGCCAGGCATGTAGATATAAAATATTACTAGAAGCCGCCATACTACTGGGTTTTCTTGAGACGCATACAGGAACTCTTTCAAAAATACTCTGAAGCAGTAAGGCCTAATACAGGGTAGCTTTCAAATATGTAGTGTATGTTAAAGAAAGATGTTACTTTTTCTTTGGTTTTTTGAGAGAGTATCATGATGTAGCCCAAACTGCCCTCAAACTCATTCCTTCCTCAGCCTATGGATTGCTGGAATTACAGGTACGTGGCACCATGCTTAGCTTGATGTCAGTTTACCATGAAGCAAACTAAATTGTCTGTTAACTCTGTTTATAGGGTTTTGGTAAAGCTTAGAGAAAATCCATGTAATAAGTATGTTGAGCATACAGAGTAGATGTTTGATAAATTATTACTATTAGACCCATTATCTATCAGGAATTGATACCATCTTTTTTTCTTCTCTCAACTCAACCCTCAAACAAACATATGAACACAGATCTGACTCATAATAGCATAGACTTTTAAACATAAATTCAGTAATGACATTGAAGATTTAACATATGAGTTTAGAGAATGATATTGATGATAAGCAATCCTGAAAACTTATGCCTAAATATTTATCAGCTGAGAAGACTAAAGGCAATGGTTTTCTTTTTAGGAGCCCTATGACAGCTGGAAGATAATTTACTGGTTAAGTTTACCTAAAGCATAAAATCCAGCTCTTGCAAGCTGCTCCTTGTTAACTGAGTATATCCATGTTCCAAAAGTAACGATCCGTGCTTCATAGTCTGCCATGGCTGGATTTCTTGGAGAATTTGCCGAATTTGGGAAATTCCTATCAGAACTCACACCAGATTCACTTCGAACATTAACATTTCGGCCCAAAACAAAGAAGCAATTGGGGAAGTGTCTCCTGTGCTCTGACCAGGCACGATCACAGGGTTCCCAATTTTTCAGTTTTCCACCACAACAAAAGCACTGCACTTGATCATCAATCCCTGTGTAGTAGAGTCCAGCACTGGCTAGCTCTCTGGGGGTTAAGTGGGCATAGTCTGGCCAGTTCAGAAAGGACTTCAATCTGGCTTCTTCACTACACATGGCAGGGTTCCTCGGGTATATGGTATCTGAAATATCTACAACCTGTCCAGTTCTCAAAAGATAATCCGCATGAGTCTCAGATGGCCTGTCAAGAGCAAAATGATTTCTGTTTCCCACATAGTTTTCAGCTTTGTACTGGCCATTTTGGATACCAGGATTTGTAGACTGTGTGGCACTGTTTTCAAAATAAAAACCATTGATAAATCTGCAATTTGGGGATATTTGCCTGTGTCTTCCAACAGCTGAGTCTCCGTATTGCCATCTATCTACTGCCACACGACAACTAAAGCACTGTACAGTATCTCCTTCACCAGTATAAAGAAACCCTGCTCGTGCCAATGTTGAAGCTGAAACAGGGCTACCACTTGGAAAGTTAGCAAATGTTTTTAATCTATTAAACTCTTCTACAAATTCTTCATCCTTATTGGTGTCTGCAGGTACACAAGTTCTAGATCCTTCAAAACTGTTAAAAGTCATCTTCTCTTGAAAATAGGACTTGTCCACCTTTTCTAAAAAGAGAACATTGCATTAGGAAATCCAAAACACATAACAAAAGTAACATATTTCTGATACTAAGCACTAACAAATTATTCAGTGATAACATAAAAACAGTGTTGTAATCACTAAGACATATTTAACTCTAAACACTAGAGCCTTACATTACTACTTGAGTTTTAAAATCTGGTGCTTTTATTTTTTCTCTTTCAGTGTTAAGGTTTCACACAATGCCAAACACACACTCTAACACAGAACTATAAGCCAGCCTGTTTCTCTCTTATTTATTGTGGTCTTGGATATCCATCTCAGGGCCTTTTGCATTTTAGCCAAGTGCTCTCTACAAATGAGCCTCAATCTCAGTCCCACTTTCTCTTTTGATGGAAAACAATATGTAAACAAACAGTAGAGTTACGAATCTTAAGTACTCACTTTATAGAAATATGGAAACTACGACACAGAAAAATTATAAATATTAAACATGTGAAGCAATTAATTAGGAAAAACATGAATGCAGCATAAAACATGCAGATGATTAAAGACTATGCATAATAGTTATAATGAGTCATTTCATATTCAAGGCATCAAAGTTCAATTTTTACTATTTAAAAAGAAATGAATGTTTAGAATGCTCATGGATTAATTTAAAATGTATTTTTCCTTGCACAGCAAAAAAAGTGCTCTGGCGGATGCCATGCCCAAGGGTATACAGGAAGTACAAATTAAACTCCTGCATTTAAACAAAAGGAGGGCCAAGTCAGGTGGTGGATCTGGGAGGAGTTGGGGAGGTGACTATGATAAAAATGCAATGCATAAAATTCTCAAAGAACTAATACAAATAGTAAACATTGTATTTACAATTATTGGTTTCAGCATTTGAAGGATATCAAACGCTTCTCATTTTCATGTATAGAGTCCACTTTTGCTGGAAGTATACCATTCCTGATTTTGCGTGTGCGCGTATACACACACACACACACACACACACACACACACACACACACCCTATATACCCAAATCTTCCAGGCAGATAATGGCCTAAGAAACATTCTAAATACTCAAAGATATTAATTGAAGTTACTTTTGCTATCAACATCTGTTGGTCAGGGAACAGCCTGTTTAAATGGAAGAGAATTTAACACTCATTACAGTTGCCAAATTACAACTATGTGATGCTTAGCCCAAATAACATACCGAAAGGAGTCAGCTGTGTTATGGGAAGAGTGGCAAGACAGTTTGTCCTCCAACACGGTAAAGTGCTAAATGATGCTACTAATAATTGCATAAGGATAACAGGCACAAATCATGGTCACCTTAGGCAAAGCAGACAGAAAAACATGTGGTCACCTCAGTTACAAGACAAGCTGGTTCTCCAGAATCTTCCACATTGCCATACTGTCCTCAGTATGTTTGCCAAATGTAAAATAAACAAATGACTAAAACTCAAATAACAGCAAAAAATGAAAGATCCTGATGTAAAAATGAATACATAGCCAGGTATTTCTCAAAGGGGAATGTACAACCACACCAAACACCAGGAGAATGCAAATTAAAGTCACAATGAGGTATCACCTCACAACTATTAGGATAGCTATTATTTGAAAGACAAAAACCAACAAATGCTGCCGAGGATATGAAAAAGATAGACCTGCAAACAGGAATGTAAACTAGCACTGCTGCTATGGAACACAAAATGGAGACTCTTTGAACAATGCACGGGGCCATCTCTCCAGCCCCTAAATTGAGCTCAGTCATTAAGAGTTCTGTTCCCAGCATCAATATCCACATCAGGCTGCTTACAATCACCTGTAACTTCAGCTTCTGGGGATCTAATGCCTCTGACCTCCTTGGGAACCTACACTCACATGCACACAATCATAGGCACACACACACACACACACTTAAAAATAAAAGTTTCAAAACCAACTAGACAATGATGGAGATTTGCTAATGTAGTAGAGTACTTACCTAACCCTGGGTTTAACCCTTAGCACTACATAAACTGGGTATGGTAGTACACCAAGAATCTCAGAATTTCAAGCTCATTCTCAGCTACGTAACAAGTTTTAGGCCAGTCTGTGACAACCAATCTCAAAGACAGAGACGGCTCGAACACAGGAGCTAGGGCATACATCCAGGGAAGTAAAATCAGTATGCTGAAGAGGCACCTGTATTTGCACACTTATTACAGCACTATTTGTATGTAGGTGACCATTGTGGAATAGGCAAAAATGTATTATATGTATACAATATAATACTTAGCCTTAACAAGATAACAACTCTACCATTTGCAGAAACATAAATAGAACTGGATGAAATTATGTGAAGTAAAACATGTCAGCTACATATGTGGAAGCTAAAAGGTTAATAGGCACAAAGGTGTAGTTGAACAGAAGTAACTTACTTTCTTTCCTTTTTGTTTGGAGACAGTTTCACTACACAATCCAGGCTGGCCTCCTATTTACTGCCTAAGCCTTCAGAGTCCTGCGGTTAGAGGAATGTATCACCAAAACCTGCAGGAATTCCTTTTTGGGCTGGGAAGATGGCCCAGAGTTCAGTTCCCAGCAACCACCTATAATGAGATCTTATGCCCTCTTCTGGCATTCAGTCAGAACATTGTATACATAATAAATAAGTAAATCTTTAAAAAAAGAATTCCTTTTTCCTGTTTCGTGTGTGGGTGAGTGTGCAAACGCAGGCCTGTGCATGTGGAAACCTACTGGTGATATTGGGAATTATCCCCAATTTCCCTTCCTTCTCATACTTTGAGACAAGATCTCTCAATCAAGCCTAGACCTCACTGATAATGTCTAGTCTGTTAGCCAGCTTGCCCTGGAGAGACTGTCTCCTACTCTGGAATTAGGAGTGTGCCACCATGCCCACACAGCATTTAGGTTCTGAGAATCAAAACTCAGGTTCTCATACTTGCATAGCTTATGGTTTAGCTACTGAGACATCTATGCAGCCCTGATTACTAACGTTCTGTAGTAACCTAGGAAAACTATGGTTGAAAATAATTAGCTAGATACTTCAAAATAGTTAACACACAAGCTTTGAATATTCTCAATGCAAAGATAATATCTGAAATAAGAGACATTATTTAATGCATATTTCCCATGTAGTAAACACATGACACTATACCACATATACTTATAATTACTGTGCCAATTAAAAATATATTTTAAGGGCTGGAAAAATGGCTCAGCAGTTAAGAGCACTACTTGCTCTTCCAGAGGATCAGGGTTCATTTTCCAGCACCCACATGGCAGCTTATAGTTGTTTGTTACTCCATTTCCAGAGGATCCAACACCCTCACACAGGCATACATGCAGGCAAAACACCAATGCACATGAAATAAAATAAATCATTTAAAGAAGCTGTGTGTGTGTGTGTGTGTGAGAGAGAGAGAGAGAGAGAGAGAGAGAGAGGTAGAGAGAGAGAGAGACAGACAGACAGACAAAGACAGAGAGAGAGTGGATTCAGGGGGCTGAGGCATGGGACACTGAATTAGAGACCAGCCAAACCCTTCTGAAAATGGTCACGATGTCTTGTTTGCTTCTAGACATTAATTTTTTAGTATCTTGGAAAGATTTATAAAGAACTTTGGGTACTATATTAGCACATTATGTCATAGAACACCAATTCCCTTTAGCATAATATTAAAAAATGTCTTTCTTAAAAGATGACAATAAACGTCAGACTCATGAGGCCTTGCAAATTTTCACTAGTATTCAAATATCCCTTAAGAGCTGACATATCTATCTCTGAGCAATTTTTTGAATACAGTTTTAGATACTTTTGGCTAGCATTTTCCAGATGTTTGAAAACATTCTGGCAATAATGTTCAAAGTTCTCTGTTGAATCTGCATAAACTAGATGGTTAAGTAAGAGACTCAAAGAAACAAAAGGCTAGATGATAAGCTATCAAGAAAAAATTTAATACAGAAATATGTAAAATTTCATTTGTTTTTTAATTGTTGCACAACTAAGGAAAATGAACAAATGATTTAGAATGAAGTCATATAAAGGCACACTTCCAGTTTAAAACCCTGGGATTTTAGTTAATTGCAAATTCATTACAAGCCAACATTACATGGCTGCTAAAAACCTCACAGCCTTCAAATTGTGTTCGTGTCCAGATGTGGAACATTCACATCCAATTCAGCTACATAATGAATATTACCTCAGTTCCAAACACACTTTAGGAGGAACACTGACAGATTTCCATGTCTTTAGAAGAGTAACCACGATATTATCTTATGAGGAAGAGTTGGAAGAGCCAAGATTATTTATCCTAAAAGGAGGGAGGGTTGACATGTGGAAAAGAAATCCAAATTCCATGTGCCTTTACTTTACAGTAGAATTAAGGCCAGCATATATACTTAATACATTTTACTTATTTTTTGCATTTTAACATTTGCAGATATGTACACACACACACACACACACACACACACACACACACACACACACACACAGAGCAGGGTGTGTGCCACAGCACATGTGTGGAGGTCAGAGGACAACTCTCGGGACCCAGTTTTCTTCTTCCACCACGTGGACTCCAAAGATAAAAAATCAAATCAGGTTATCACCGAGCTCCTGGGAACTCAAAGACTCCAGACCAACAGCTAGGGAGACTGCATGGGACTGACCTAAGCCCTCTGCATGTGGTGACAGACAGCTGTGTAGCTTGGTCTGTTTGTGGGGCTCCTAGCAGTGAGATCCCTGGTGCTTGAGCTGGCTTTTTGGAATCTATTCCCTATGGTAGGATGCTTCTCTCAGCCTTGATGCAGGGAGGAGCTTGGTCCTGGTCCTGACTCAACTTGATATTCCATGCATTGTTTACTCCTATGGGAGGCCTTACCCTTTCCAAGGAATGGCCGAGAGGGAGGGTAGGGTAGAAAGGAGATGGAGGGAGGGAATAGGAGGAGAGGAGGGAGGGAAAGCTGCGGTTGGTATGTAAAATAAAAAATTAAAAATAATAAAAAATCAGGTCACCAGGTTTGGCAGCAAG